AAATGATTAAGGAGAAATTATTTGAAACTGCTCGTGCTTGAATTCGTCAGAACTTGGATAAATAAAGACAACCTGAGCTAGCTGGGGCCATCAGTTTGAAAGACAGTTGGTGGTCAGACTCTTCATTCTTCAATGACTTATCACACCTGTCCTGTGTTACAGAACCCCACAGGAGCTGGACTCTGGCATTTTCTTAATTAGTGGATTGATGGAGGAGGGCACAGCCCATTGTGGGTGAGGTCATTTCTGGGCTGGTGGTGCTGGGTTCTATAAGAAAGCAGGCTGAGCAAGGCATGGGGAGCAAGCCAGTGAGCAGCACCCTCCATGGCCTCTGCATCAGCTCTTGCCTCCAGTTTCCTGCCATACTTGAGTTCCTGTCCTGACTTCCTTTGGTGATGCACTATGATGTGGAAGCGTGAGCCAAATAAACCCTTTCCTCCCCAACTTGCTTTGGTCATGGTGTTTCATCACAGCAATAGGAACCCTAACTAGGACAGTCCATTTGAATGGAGTAAGCAGGTAAGTAGGGTCAGCACGATTGTTAGCATAGGGTGGGGGAAGCCAGAAGTCTTCTTCAGGAGTTGAATTGAATTGTGTTATCTGAGGAAATCACCAGCCATTTGGAGAAGGTAAAGAGGGGAGGTGGCTGTAGGGACTGAGGACAGGAATGGGAAAATAACAAAAGTCACACGGGTCTAAAAATGATACTGGAGGGATGAGGCAGGCGGTGTAGGGAACAGCTTAGCAACCAGGGACTCTACTTGATTCTGGCTAGACACACACCGAAGGGGGATGTCCTTCTGTATATAAGTTTCTCTTATTGGTTGATGAATAAAACACTGATTGGCCAATAGCCAAGCAGAAAGGATAGGTGGGACTACCAGACCGGGAGAAGGCTGAGGAGAGGGAGGCAGAGAGTGGCCGCCAAGAGACGCCATGCTGCTGAAGGAGTAATATGCTGGATTATGAGTAAGCCACAGCCTAGTGGCAATACATAGATTAATAGAAATGGGTTAATTAAGACAGAGCTAGCCAGCAGGAAGCCCTAGCCACCAGCCAACAGTTTTATAATTAGTATAGTGTCCATGTGTTTATTTGGAGCTAATAGGCTAAAGGACCAGGCAGAACAGAAACCTCCATCTACAACACACCCCATTTCTAATAATGCATTTGGCAGCCTGAAACCCTTATCCTCATATAATGCACACACCCTCCTCTTTGAACAATGAATCCAGTAACCTAGGGCTCCCAGCTGCATGCATGTCCCACTCTGACAGCCATCAAACTTAGATAATACTCAGCTGTGCTACATCCAACATCTAGTTATGGAATTGGAAGCCTGATCCTCTCCTGCCCCTCCTTCTATGCAGGAACACCAACAGTCAACAAACCCGGCTGTTATAATCTTTTGCAAGTAGGCATAGCTGAACTCATTGTGGCAATTTAGCTCGGAGGATAGTCCTGCACAACAGTTCAAGGAAGAGTTCATAGCAGGGAAGTTAAGGCAGCAGAAGCTTGGCACAGCTGGTCCCGTCACACCCAAAGACAAGAAGCAGGAAATGATGAGTCCGTGTGATCAATTCACCTTTACCTTTTTGCTTTATTTTGTTTTGTTTCCATCCAGGATCCCCCGCTCAGAGAATGGTCCTGTCCAGAATTAAGGCTGGTACTTCCATGGCTAGTAATATAATCAAGATAACCCTTCACAGGTGTGACCAGATGTCCGCCTTATAGGTGGTCCAAGGCGATTAGCACTAACCATCACGGGGTGGGGGGCACCTTGTCATTCACCAGGCAGACACCATTCATCAAGGAAGCATGCAACTGCACACCACATAGAGGTAGTAGGCAGCTGCCATCCCCGTGAGGATGCTCTACTCTCAGGTGGTTCAGCCGTACTGGCATGTCTCACCACCTATTACAGTGAGCATGCAACCACCACCACAAAGAAGCATCCTATACCACACAGGAAAAGGTAGCCACAAGAACGCTCCATTTCCTGACAGGTTGGCCTCGGTTTGCACGTCTTATTACTCATCACAGGGCCCAGCTCATTTTCGGTTCTGTCAGTCCCTGGGTCTCTCTGTCCAACTTGCAGCCAGCACCACCACAGAATCTCTCTCTCTCTCTCTCTCTCTCTCTCTCTCTCTCTCTCTCTCTCTGTGTGTGTGTGTGTGTTTTAGGATTTATTTCTTTAACATTTTAAGTTATGTGTTTATTATCTGTGGGGGCAAATGCTCACAAGTACATGTGCCAGCAGAGGCCAGCAGAGGTGAATTGCAGGAAGTCGTGAGCCACCTGGTATGGTTGCTGGGAATTGAACTTGGGACCTCTGGAAGAGCAGTATATGTTCTCAACCACTGAGCCATCTCTCCGGCCCAGTACAGTCTCTCTTCCATAGCTATTGTTTAGCTCCTTTTACAAATTTGGAGAGGAGAGTCCTGAATCTTACAGCTTCCTGAGCTTCCTGCTTAGCTTTCAGAGTCTTACCAACCTCCCTCCTCCCTCAAGGAAGGAGAGTTTCAATTCTGAGGAAGTAGCTAGGCAACACTTTGTTTAAGGACACTGGAAATCATGTCTCTGATTGATCCCGTGTGTGGCCGTGTATTCACACACACAACCCCACTGGAATTCAGAGAAAAAGGAGCCCACAGAGCAAAGCCACACATTAGAATGAACAGGAAACAAGAGGTATGCTCACCCGGCATGTCTAGGAACTCAGCTGCTGCTAAATAAATTGTGAATGACCTCAGATAGCACAACCCTTGGAAACTCCAGGGTTTTGTTCCTCACTCCACTCCACCTTCAGGTTCCGCTGCCTCTGCTGTTTGTAAGTGGTGATACATGTCTTTGAACTGCAACACTTGGAAGGCATAGGCTGGGTGATCTCTGTTAAGTCCAAGGCAGCCTGATCTACATGGGGAATTCCATATCAGCCAGGGTGACATAGTGAGACCCTGGGACAACATGAGAATGAGGGAGGGACAGAGGGATGGAGGGACAGAGGGGGAGAGAGAGAATTGGGCATTGTCCTTCATCTGAATCCCTCATCTCAGAGCCTCTCCATTCCAGTGCCAGAAAGAGCCACATCAGCTTGCTTCAGGAGATCAAGGTCACATTCCTTTTTCTGACTCAGGGTAGTAACAAACGTTGGTGGCCCAGCTGTCAGGTTCCAGGGGCATTTGGTATTAGATGTCCAAGTTGTATCACCTGGTTCCCACCACAAGGGGGCAGAGTGGGCCTGCCTGCAGGGAGCTCTAAGAAACAGAACTTCTGGGGACCTTCATCTCCCTAAGGACCTCTCTTTACAGCTCCCCACCCTGACTGCCCACTCAACCCCATCCCCACGCTCTGTTCCTCTTGGGCACATTTCTCTTCTTACTGTGATCTCGACATAGGTGGTTTTTCTGCCTACATATGCTGTAGTGTCTTCAGATAAACTTCTGTGAGTCCGATCTTTAAATAAATGAGGATAGTAAACCATTGGATATAAGAAATCATCATCCTCTTGGAAATATGATTGTTAGAAACATAAAAGCCCATAACATTTGCTGAATACCATATGCTGAGTCCACTAAAGACACTGCCCAGGGACTGTGGCCTCCAGAGCCACAACCACAGTGCTCCTGAGGCTATGGCCCTACACCCAGGTGCACAGAAATCAATGTCTCTTTAATCAATGAAGGACATTGGGGTTGGGTCTTCATCTCCCCTGGAGCACTTGGTTACATTCCACAGGGCCATGTGTGTCTGCAACCTCTGAAACTTGACACATGCTGCCTAAAACAGTACAAAGTCCTAATTCATGAAGGCTACATCACAGTCAGCCCTGAGAGTGGCAGTAGCCCAGTCCATGTCCCCCTTGTATGGCCACAGGGATCCTAGGAGGGAGACTTCGAATGCCCCTACTTCCCGGTACCCATGATCTTCTCTGGGGGTTGAGCAACGGACGACTCCCCTACTGCCCACCTGCCCCAGGCTCTCTCGTGTTTCTCTCCCGATTTCCTCAAGTTACAGGGTTCTATACCTGTTGTCCCTCTGTTGCACACACATCACCTGCCCCTCCTCAATCCTTTCTTCCTAAAGCCCTCCAAACTTGACATCCCTCTACCCGAATTCCTCTCGAATGTGCCCTGGAGTACCCCACATGGTACCCCGTCTACATCATAGCCCTCCAAATCTACCCACATAAGGGACATCTTCCAGCCACTCAGAGTTCCCAAGGACTCCCTGGAATAAATGGCTCTAGGTTCCTATGTGACAGCGTGTGACACACACTGGCTCTGGTACCAACAAACAAAGCTCCATGGTGGGCACAAGTCCTAGATTTTCCTTGACCTGGGAGCCGGACACAGGACCCTCACTCTTACCCCAGAAGGTGAGCCGTTGTGGAAGAGGCTCCTAACCACTCTTTGACCCAGCAGGTCTGACTCGACCTTGCTTCGAAGGAAGGGGCATTCAGGCCTTCAAGGCCACCATAGCCTAGCCCATACCTGGCTTCTCTTCTGGGGCGACAGCCAGGTATGCTCTGTGATACCAGTGCTGAGACATCATTGAGTAGAGGCAACAGGTAATACCGTACACCTGAGAATGTCCCAGCAGAAAATGACACCAAAAACCAGAGGGGATCTCAGCCGCCTCCTGGCCTCTAACCATCTAAGACAACCTTATTTTTCTGCCACAACCCCGGGGCTAACCCTTTTCTCTCTGGGCGCCTCCTGTGGGGACTCTGGGTTGGGGTGATGAAGAGGTGGACCAGATGACCAGCCAAGTAGGACAGCTGGGGTCGGGGGGTAGGGTGGTGTAATTAGCATGGCTTTCCCCCACCTGGCTTGCTGTGTTTCTCTCCCTCTGCCAAGACCCTACCTTCCCCTCCAGGAAGCCCCTCCCTCTGCCCTTCACCACCAACCATGTTGAAATGCCACGCCCCTGTTTCTTCCTCTCCTGGGGCTTTTGGGGGTGCCTCTGTCACAGTGCTCGGTAATGTGTAGCAGCCAGAGTGGCTGATCTGATTCTGGTCGGCTGATCTGGGCAGCATGACTCAGGAGACTTTCCTGGCCTTGCTACTTACACTGGCCAGAGTCCTGCCCGGCCCCCTAGATGGCCAAGGTAAGCATTTCTCTGAACTGCAGGGCTCCCAGGGGGCACCTCACACACCTGCCTGGGAGGGGTTGGTACTGAGCTTGACTTCCCTGAGTCCTGGTCCTTCTTTCTGGGTGCTGGAGTGGTTTCAGCTCTGTGGGAACGTGGAGGCTTGAAAGCTTTGTTTACATGATTAACAGTTGCCCTTGTGGCTAGTGAGGATGTTGTCCTTTAGCTCCCATTCAGAGCAGCTGTCTGTGGGAAGGCCTGTGGGAAGGTGTAAAAGCTCTACAGAAAGAACAAGGAAGGCTCCCGCTTCCAGGCACAATCCTCGTGCAAAAAACCAGCACGGTGCTCAGTTTGTGAGGTGCTGATATCTGCACTCAGCCTGGTGTACACAGGAAAGTGGGTGGTGAGGGCTCTAGGCAGGGCAAACTAGGCTGGAGTCTGAATAGGTGGGGATCCCATGAACAGGCCAACATATGCCCCTTCTACAGAGCCACAGGCTCTGGAGGCCTGGAAATGGCCTGTGGGAAGCAGCCGCCAAATCAGAGATAGGACAATAGCTGTCTGGGGACTGACTCTGGGGACAGGTGGGGGAAGGAGTTCTCAAAGAGGAGGAAGTCCTAGTGCTGAGATGCAACATAGTTGCAGTCAGCGCACCCTGAGGCCCGTGGACTGCTCAGAACTCACGGGGCTGTCAGTACCTAATACTGCTTCAAGGTCCCCACTGCACCTTCTCTGAAGTGCCATGCTAGCACAGGGTTGACCACAGGCCTGGCCCCAAGTCCCCTACACCACCCCTGCAGAGAGGGGTTTGAGTGAGGCATCACACAGGGATACAAAATGGGAGTGTGAAGCCTAGAGGTAGAATGTGGGGCTTCTGACCAGGTCCCTGTACACAGCAAAGTTGAGATAGCATGTGTGTGAGTATACATGTATATGAATGTGGGGTGGGGGGTCTCTAAGATACGTGTTAATGTGTTTAAGTCCCTATGTGCTGTGTGGGAAGCAGGGAAGATCTCTCTCTCTCTCTGACAGCCCAGTGGTAACAGTGGCTTGTGCTCTTCATAGAGATGCAACAGTCTTACCAAGTCCATATCGCTTCTGAGGGGGAGTCCATCAACATCACCTGCTCTACAAGTGGAGACTTGCTGGGGATCTACCTGAAGCAGATCTGGCCATGGGATTCCTATGTGACGTACTTTGAAGACGGGAAAGACTCCACGGTAGACAAGCGTTTCTCAGGCCGAATTGATTTCTCCGGTTCCCAGAACAACCTGACCATCACCTTGCGCCTCCTCGTGCTGGAAGACACTGGAGTATATACCTGCAAGCCCGTCACAAAAAGCGGAAGGGATGGCTCATCCACCATAGTTGTAGTGAGAGGTAGGGAATGTGGCCAGGAGCCCGCTGGCTGCTGGGGTCTTCTTTTCTCTTTCTGGAACTGTCTGCTCAGAGCCTGTTTGTTCTTGGAAGCCTCCTGGTTGCTGCCCTTCTGCTACCACCATAGCTCCTCCCTGACTTGAACCCTGAGTCCTCGAGTAGAGTGCTCTCCTACCAATGGCTTTTTTGGTTCATCTTCCCAGAAAAACTGTCCCAAGAAGCATGCAAATCCCAGGAACTTCGGAGAGCATCAGTTTCCCTCCCAGCTGCCCTGGCTGTAGGCTTCTTCCTCCTTGGGTTGAGCTTTGGAGTGCTATGCTCATTGAGGAAAACGCAGGTCAGTGTGAGCCTATGGCTGTTATCAATAAGTTGGCCCTTCTCACAGGCTGACAGAAGAAAAGAAAAAAGGCTTAAAGATCTGGTCAGGGGCACACGACAAAACACCAAGATACAGAGAGGGGTATGAGTGAGCATCATCAGGCAGGGACACAAAAATGGGAGAGGCAAGCCTAGGGGCAGAGTGCGGGGCTTCAGACCAGGTCCCTGTGCACAGCAAAGTGAGATAGCACGCGTGTGGATATTCACGTGTGTGTGTGTGTGTGTGTGTGTGTGTGTGTGTGTGTGCTATGTGAAATGGGTGAGTGTGCGTGAACATACATGAATGTGGGTTATGTGGAGTCTGGGTTATATGTGTGTTAATGTGTTTGAGTCCCCATGTGCTGTGTGAGAAGGGCAAACAGTTTGGTCTAGAAGGGTCCCGACGGCAGCCAGTTCGTCCTGATCACTCAGCTGTTGGCCCTGGGATCCGCCTGCAGTTGAACCTGCCAGGTCTGATGATCTGCCCCCCAAATCCAGGGAAACTGTTTGATGAAGAAAGGGGTTTCTTGGAGACAGACACACTTTGCCTAGGTCACCACGCTGGCCACTGCCGCTGTCTTTTCAGATCAAGGAGCTGTGTGCCTCGAGGGATAACAACTCACGGTGCGTAGTGTATGAGGACATGTCCTACAGCAATCGCAAGACTCCGTGCACCCTCAACCAGTATCAGTGAGCCCCTCTACCCACAGTCCCCCACGTCTTGCTTCAGCTGGGTTGGTAGTGGTCCTGCTGACCCAACCAGCCCAACTCCCCCAGTACCCTTCCTGTGCTACTCAAATGCCCCCTTAGTGCTTTTGGATGAATGGGACTCCTCCTCTCTGTAAGCTTCCCCACAGGGCTCTGCAATTTGTCCCCCACCCTAGCCAGGTAGCTCTGATCATGGTGCCATGGGGGGGGGGGAACTTGAGGGGAACAAAAAAAAATGTGTTACCTGTCTTGGAGCAGCTTGGCCAGAAATAAATAGACAAATAAAGCCCATTGTGGCTTTTATTTTCCAACCAGCTCCTAGCTGAGGAGGGCAAGAAATGTCAGTCCTCGGGGATTTTGTGGCCAGTGTCTGTGAGAGCAGAAGAGGGTAAAAGCAGGAGAGGGGAGCCCCCCCAGGAGGCTCAGCACTCCAGATACCCCATAAGGAACAGCTCACCCACACAGGTGAAGAGCCCAGGGCAACAGCTTCACCCATTCTAGAAGGCCATGTTCCTAAGGGCCCAGCCCTACCGAGCCCCTGTTGGTGTAGTCTGAAGGCCCTCAGTGGTGGCTTTCCCAGACTCCCCTTTGTCTCAGAGGCCCCTGCTGGCTCACCTGACACCTAGGGCCATCCCAACTCCCTGTGCTGCACTTGGGGAGAGGAACCCAAAACTGAAGCTCAGGCGCTCACCTGATCCATGGTGAGCTGCTCGGTCCCTCCTTTACTGTCTCCAGGGATAACTGGAGAATCAGAAAGGACAGGAACAAAATCAATACACGTGTGCCGGCCCCACACCTGCTCCACGCTGTCACCTGTCACCCCTTGTCTCCTGCCCTTCTGTCCTGTCCCTGTTGCCAGCAGAATGAGGTGGGCACAGAGGACAAGTGACTAATAGCAGCAGTACAGTGGGGGGGGGCTTCATAGCCCTGCTCTGTGCACCTGGAAAACGGGGGGGGGGGGAGTCAGAGAATCTAGCAGTGAGGGTACCCTTGGACCCAGACCTCAGCTCCATCCACTTCCCCACAGAGCCCCCGTCCTGCCAGCTCATTCCCAATTCAGCCTCCCTTACGTAAGCTGACCTCTGCTCCCCAAGCTATCACCAGGGCACTCACAGAGAGTGTGCCCCATGACACTGACATGTACTCAGCTGATAGTGACAGCAAAGCCTGAAAGAACCAGAAGTACCAGAGCCTGAAGCAGCCGTTTAAGGCCCTGGGGTTGTCAGTCTCCAGCATGCTGTGTAGATGGATCCCTGGTCAAGGGCCCCAGGGGCCTGGATCTTATAAGGTAAATACCCCTGGGGCAGCTAAGACCCCTGTTAATAAGCCCCAGTAAGCCTTGTCTCTTTGTAAGTACCTCTCACTTGCTGCTCCAAGTCCCATCTGGCTGGGCCACTATCCTGGGTCTAGGTGGCCTCCTGGATAGCATCACCAGCCTCACCAGCCTAACTTAGGAAATGGGGTGTATTTTCAACCTTGAATGAGGCCTTTAAGACAAGAGACCTCCCTCTAAACCTAAACTCAGGCCCTCTGTCCTCTATCCAGGCCCAGCTGGACTGACCCAGCTCCCAGGCCTGTTCCACCCCTAATATCTCAGAAGAGCCAAGTCACTCCAATTGGTTGGCCTTCCCTTCATGGGCAAGGCTTTGCTCAGCTGAGGGTCATCCACGAAGAGTCCTCCATCCCTATAAAGAGAACAGAGTTAAAACCCCTGCAAATCCAGAGGCCAACAGTGAGCCCTGAGATTGTCTGTGCCTGACCATCAGTGTAAGCCATAGAGTCAAAGCTAGTGCTATCAGCTGCATGTTTAAAAACAACTCAAGAACAAGGGGGAACTCATGGACCCCAGTCTGATAGCTGGGAAGCCAGCATAGGATCAAGCCAGACCCCCTGAACATGGGTGTTAGTTAGGAGGGCTGGGCAGCCTATGGGGCCTCTGGTAGTGGATCAGCATTTATCCCTAGTATATGAATGGACTTTGGGAGCCCAATCCACATAGAGGGACACTCTCTCAGCCTAGACACACGGGGGAAGGGCCTAGGCCCTGCTCTAAATGATGTGACAAACTTTGAAGATCCCCCATGGAAGGCCTCACCCTCCGTGGGGAGCAGAAAGGGGCTGGGGGCTGGGAGGGGGAATGGGAGAGGAGGGGAAGGTGAGGGAACTGGGATTGACATGTAAAATAAGCTTGCTGCAAATTTAAATGAAAAAAATATTATTTAAAAAAAAAAACACTCAAACAAAAGTATATGACAGAGAACTACAAACTGCAGGGAAATGTTTACTAAACTACAGGTCAGGAGCCAATATATTTATTTAATTTATAAGATGGTATCTATGAATAGGAAGAAAACATTCGGATAAAAGAATATACCAAAATTGAGCAGGTGGCTGGCAATGCACAACTGTCCCGTTGGTTTTACAACAACTCTGCGGTGCCTGCTGTCACCCAGTGCTCTCTCTGTATCAGCCCCCGTCCTCAGCATCTGGAGGCCACCAACCCTCTGTAATGTCTGTCTAGAAGATCTGTACCCCCAGCCAGCAACTGTGGACCTGGATGGCTCTAGCTGAGCCCTTTATACTGAGCACCACCAGCTAGCAGTGACCAAGAAGGGCACAGGACACAGGTGTGGGGTCCTGGGAAACAGGCTGGTCACAGCTGACATTCTGAGGTTCTCAAGCCTGGTCAACGTGCGTGGCTGGTGCTAACAAACATCCACCACAGCCAAGATGTAATATATATACACCAAAGCTCCTCTCGTACTGCAAAGCGGCCACGTTGGCCGTCGTGCCCTGTGCAGTAAGTCCTGTTCCGGCACGGTCTCCCACACAGACAGCAGACCATTGGCCATGGGACAAAGCCCGTGAGGCTAATTTCTGTGCCCTCCACCTCCCTGAAAGAAGCTAAGACATCTAAGGCTTGGGACTCAACCAAGGGCAGGTTCAGGTATATAGCGGGTGCCACCAAGGGCTTGCTGACTCAACAAAGAACCCTTATTATTGGCCCTCCGGCCTCACTCCCCACCTGTGAATTAGGCAGGTGGGGTCTACTTCTCTCCAAGTGCAGGTTTGGTTGCCAGGCTCGGTTGGCATCAGCTAAGCTGTTAAAGACCCCCAGCTCCCGTCAGAGAAGTTACCCTATTCCGGTTTCCCTCATTTCAGAAGTAACTTCCTGAATGATAAGCAGACAGCCCACAAGCCCATCTCAGAGCCCTTGTGATCTGAAACTTTGCTTGCCAAACACCACCAAGCAACAACAGGCCATGTGTCCACAGAACTGAATACCCGGGCTCCCCTCGCTCCTCCTGGCCTTGCTTGCTCGGGGCTGTGATGTCGAGGTCTTCCTTCCGGTCCCTCCATATTCAGGACCCCATAGTCCTCCCCATGACCCTTCTATCAAGGCTGAGCTCCCCCCCAGTCATCCTCTTTTGTCTACATTCAGGCCTCGATGATGTGGTACATGGGAACGAGTCCTTCTACTATGTCCCCGTCCCCATCCAGGCTCAGAAGTACCCGTCTTTTTAGTGAGCACTACTATGTGCTATGCATGTTGGGTAATATTCTGGTCCATTCCTCTTGTGACAATAGCATTTGCCTGGTCTGAGTCCTGGTCCCCATTAATGCTGAATTCTGTGCCTCCCACCTCCCTTCAGGAAGTAGAGACATTTATGACTTGGGACTCAGCCAAGGGCAGAGCCAAGTAAGTGTGTATCGGTGCTACCAGGGGCTTGCTGAATCAACAAATAAGCTCACGTTCGGCCCTTTGGACTTTGTGGAGGTGTCTGTCTCTCAAGACTGTGGGTTCTTCATCTGTAAAATGGGACAATGCAGTGCTTGGATGCCATAAAGGTTAGGCAAGAAGCTGCATGCAACACCTCCACAGAGCAATACTCCCTCAGCCACCCAGGCATGGACGGACAGAGGAGTTAGAGTACATGGGGGAAAAACCCTTAGGGGAAGCCTCACCCACAGGGCAAGACTTTCCCCCAGCAATGCCCACCCCTCCCCTTTGAGAATCAGCCTCAGGAAACAGAGGTCAGCCACAGCCTAAGGCATCCCAACACAAAGGGGAGCCATAGAATGGCACACCTCACCCCTCCCTCTCCCTTTCCTCCCTTCCCTCCCTTCTTCCAAGCCTGAGGGTACCACTAAATCTTTTTTGTTAATGTTACACTCTGACACAAGAACCTAGCCAAGAGGTAGCAGCCAATGGAGGTATGGGAAAGAAAAGGTCAGCACAAGCAGACTGAGCTCCTGTGAGGCAAGACACCCCGAAAGCACCCAGGGTACCAGGTAAGAGGGAAGGGAGGGTACCGCTTGGTGGATTTAGCCAATAAGAACAACAGAACAGTGATGAGATTCTAGACCCGGATGGTGCCAAGCTCCTCGTATTTGAGGATGAAAGAGTCATCAAATACTGGGGGTCAAGAACCTGATTCCTGGACTATCACATTCAACAAGATTATGTAAGGGCAAAAAACCCCGCGTGCTCAGGCACCCCTCTTCTGACTCTGTACGCATACACACAAGCAGAAAACATGGAAGAGTCAACCAACACTAAGCTGCATGAAAATGCCATGTGGAAACATGTTGCTATGTTTGTTGTTGGGGTGTTTTGGTTTGTTTAGTTGGTTTTGTTTTTCAAGACAGGGTGTTTCCATATTGCTGCTTTGGAGAAAGTCCTGGAACTAGCTCTTGTAGACCAGGCTGGCTTCCAACTCACAGAGATCCATTTGCCTCTGCCTCCCGAGTGCTGGGACTAAGAGATCCACTTGCCTCTGTCTCCCGAGTGCTGGGACTAAAGGCGTGCACCACGAACACCCAACTGCTTTGTATGTTGCTAAAAAAAAAAAAAAAAAAAGAAGAAGAAGAAGAAGAAAGAAAGAAAAAAAGAAAATTAATGAAAACATGACCTGAAAATGTAAAATTTGTGCAGCTGAAGATGTTGTAACCACAGACAGAAATAGATACCTCAAAAGTTTAAGCAGAGATTTCACAGGGAAGTGTGAGGAGTAGAAGGTGGTATAGACTGCCTTCTGTATACAACCAAGGATGACTGGAACTCCTGGTCTCCTACTTCAGCTTCCCAAATGCTGGGATTACAAGGGTATGCCACCATGTTTGGATTGGGGGGAGATTTTGAGCTTCCCTGCAGATCCAGATCACAGAACCAGTCAGCATGGGATTTCACATTCATTCAGAGTATGTGAAACTGTATTTTATTTATAGCTTGTGTCATCAGGTCCTGCTTGGTGAGAAACAGGATGAGGTCTAGGAGCCCAATGACTTTCGTGCAGCTTGTGAAC